TCATTTCTTTCTGGTGCTCTCATGCATGTATGTATTTGTATGTACATAATTTAAATTTATTTTTCCCTGGTTAATCTTTTATCAGTTTGATTCATGGGCCTAGGCAATGAACCTAGGAGGGTAGAGAAAAAGGTTGACTTTTCTCCCTAGGGAACTGAAAAGACCTCCTGTGTTTCAAAGTTACCAAAGGGCTGAACCAGACCTCCGTCCTCAGACTATAGCTTCCTCCACAGGACTGTACTGTCCATCATAATGGTTTTGTAGACTTCCTAAAAAATTGACTTAAAGTAGGTCAGCATGCCTGAGCCATTTTGAGATGATTTATTGAAGTTGGAGATGTTGGTTCATGTTTTTCAACACAAAGAACAAGATTTTAAATTGCTGGTGTTTAAAAGCTGAGGTGCTTTTGTTATTCCTTTATTAAAAAATGATGAGCGAATATAACTCAGAAAGAACTAAGTCTTAGTGCAGATCTCTGTATAGAGTAGGTGTTTAATACCTTTGGAAGTTATTACATTTTGAATGTCATAACAAAAATGACTGGGCAGCAAGGTGACACACTGAAGATGGGAGATTTAATAGAAGCTTCATCTCAAGCCCAAGGACAGAAGTTCTACCAAGCCCAAGTTCATTTAGTGAGCATTAATGATTTAAAAATTTTTAAGATTTCTTGGTGCAAGTTATCAGCACATACTAAAAGTAAAAATGTGCCTTATTTAATGACAATTGGACAGTATCTGTAGATTTCAGGATTTCTACTTTCATTAATGTTTTTAGTCTTTGTTTACATTTCACTAAACAACAAGAAGGAATCAATTTAAGGCAGAGAGCCAGAAATACAGATAGGTTAGATGATATCTTGATTTTATTTGAGCTGAGTATATTTTGCTAAATACATTTTTGTAAGAGCAAAAATAAATGAATTCATTTAAAAGTACTGGTCTACCTAACCATGGGGTCTCACCATACACACCAAGTGTTTCTCTGTGAAAGAGAAAATACAAACAGCTTTTATGAATATGTGTTAATAACATATTGGGTCTATGCTGTGGCAATCTAGGCTATGCAGACATCACCAAACCTCCTTGGAGGAGGCCTAAACTGTCAAGGAAGGCTGTGTGATGTAGCCTCATAATGTGGATTTCCCACATCATATACTCCAGCCTTTCATGGTTCAAATCCTCACTCCCCATAGTAAATTTAAAATTTACATATACACTTTTTTAAAATTAATTTTTTAAAATTTATATGACAGTAGAATACATTATAATTTATATTAAACATATAGAGCTCAGCTTTTCATATCTCTGGTTGTATACAAAGTATATGCACACCAATTTGTGTCTTCATACTTGTGCTTTGGATAAAGATGACCATCACATTCCACCATCATTTCTAACCTCATGCCCCTTCCCTTCCCCTCCCACCTCTCTGCCCTATCTAGAGTTTGTCTATTCCTCCCATGCTCCCCCTCCCTACCCCACTATGAATCAGCCTCCTTATATCAGAGAAAACATTCGGCATCTGGTTTTGGGGGATGGGCTAACTTCACTTAACATTATCTCCTCCAACTCCATTCATTTACCTGCAAATGCCATGATTTTATTCTCTTTTATTGCTGAGTAATATTTCATTGTGTATAAATGCCACATTATTTTATCCATTCATCTACTGAAGGGCATCTAGGTTGGCTCCACAGTTTAGCTATTGTGAATTGTGTCGCTATAAACATTGATGTGGCTGTGTCCATGTAGTATGCTGTTTTTAAGTCCTTTGGGTATAGACAGAGGAGTGGGATAGCTGGGTCAAAAGATGGTTCCATTCCCAGTTTTCCAAGGAATCTCAATACTGCTTTCCATATTGGCTGCACCAATTTGCAGTCCCACCAGCAATGTATGAGTGTGCCTTTCCATCACATCCTCACCAACACTTATTGTTGTTTATATTCATAATAGCTGCCATTCTGACTGGAGTGAAATGAAATCTTAGAGTAGTTTTAATTTGCATTTCTCTAATTGCTAGTGATGATGAACATTTCTTCTTATATTTGTTGATTGATTATATGTCATCTTCTGAGAAGTTCTGTTCACTCCTTGGCCCATTTATTGATTGGGTTGTATTTTTGGTGTTTAGTTTTTTGAGTTCTTTATATACCCTAGAGATTAGTGCTCTCTCTGATGTGAGAGGGGTAAAGATTTGCTACCAAGATGTAGGCTCTCTATTCACCTAACAGATTGTTTCTTTTGCTGAGAAGAAACTTTTTAGTTTGAATCCATCCCATTTATTGATTCTTTATTTTAATTTTGCACCACAGCAGTCTTATTAAGGAAGTTGGGGCCTAATCCAATATGATGGAGATTATGACCTACTTTTTCTTCTATTAGCTGCAGGGTTTCTGGTTATATTCCTAGGTCCTTGATCAAAAGCACTATACAGATTTAATGCAATGCCAATCAAAATCCCAATGGCATTCCTCATAGAAATAGAAAAGGCAGTCATGAAATTCATCTGTAATAATAAGAGACCCAGAATAACTAAAACAATCCTTAACAAGAAGAGTAATGCAGGTGGCATCACTATACCAGCCCTCAAACTATACTACAGAGCAATAGTAACAAAAGCAGCATGGTATTGGCACCAAAACAGACTAGTAGACCAATGATACAGAATAGAAGACACAGAGACTAACCCACAAAATTACAATTATCTTATATTAGACAAGGTGCCAAAAAACAGGCATTGGAGAAAAGACAGCCTCTTTAACAAACGGTGCAGGGAAAACTGGAAATCTATATGCAACAAAATGAAATTAAACCTCTATCTCTCACCATGCACAAAACTCAACTCAAAATGGGTCAAGGACCTAGGAATAAAACCAGAGACCCTGCATCTAATAGAAGAAAACAGTAGGCCCGAACCTTCATCATGTGGGATTAGGCCCCAACTTCCTTAATAAGACTCCTATACCACAAGAATTAAAATAAAAAATCAATAAATGGGATAGATTCATACATACACACTTAAATCAGCAAATAAGGTAATTTCCCTCCCCTTCCTTTGTTTCTTTGTGTCTCTGTCTGTCTCTCTCTCCCTCTTTAACCCTTCCTCTCCACGTCTGCCTCTTTCATAAAGAAGGTGTTTATAACAGTCAGATGCATTCACTCCATATATTGCTTAGGAATGCCTGGTTTGGGGTGAGGCTGCCTCCAGGCACTGGGGTGCAGAGTAATTTGGTTGCTTGTGATGGGCTTCACTTTGAGTGATCTTAATTTCTGCTAATAAAATACATGACATAGGGTACAATTCCTACTCTCCTTCAGCACCTACTATTCTTCCTACTCCTTCAGCACCCAGGGCCTATAGACCTTGGCTCTAGGTCAGCTTCAGGCTAGAGCTCAGCTGGATGTGTCAGACACTCCTTTCCACTCTCAGCTGTCACCCAGCACCGGAACACTAGCCCTCTCCTAATACTGCAGAGCCACAGGCTGTTTATCTCTGGCTTTGCCCTTTCCTAATGCCAAATTGCAGGAGTCACTGTTTGCATTAATTCCTTCTTCTCTCTTCTTGATCACCAAATCTTTTATATATAATCATTGTCAACAACCCATTTTTATCAAAGCAAGGTAAGACTTTGCCTCTTGGGTACCCTTAAGACCCAAGCCTTATTGCCTATCTGGCCCTTGAAGGCTTTTGTGTTTTTTGGTCCAATAACAACAATAACAATGAAAAAAAACCAAACAAACACCAAACCTGAAAAATCAATAAAAGAAGACCAGTTCCCTTTAATAATATGGTGAAGGAGTCTATCAAAACACATGGAAAAATAAATGGAATAATATTATGGTCCCCTGACCTGAGATAAGGTAATGACTTGTGGACCTGTCATTATTCAGAGTCTCGCTAGGATTAAAACTTGTTATAACAGTTATATACTTGTGAAAATCTTATAAGGAAAACCTTTATATTTTAGTTCACTGTTTTTAAATTTTATTTTTTTAATTTATTCTGATTAGTTATACATAACAGCAGAATGCATTTTGACACATTGTACATAAATGGAGCACAGCTTCTTATTCCTCAGGCTGTACCTGGTACAGAGTCACACTAGTAGGGTAATCATACATGTATATAGGTTAATAATGTCTGTCATTCTACCATCCTTCCCACCCCCCTCTACACTAACCAGTTTTAGTTCGCTTATTTTTAGTCAGAATATTAGTTGAATTCAGTAAAACAAGTTTTAAAAAAGAAGATTGATTCAAATAAATTACCGATTAGTGTCCATATGCTTCCTCTATAATAGCTAATACTTAAGGGATGCTTTTGATTAACTCCTCTCACTTCACAAAAACCTTTTGAAGTAAGTATTAATGTTATCTGAATATTACAGAGAAAGAACCTGGAGATTGGTGAGATTAAGAGACACAGTTTGTAATTTGGAAAACCCTCTACAACCCAGGTCTTCCTGTGCCAAATTACAACTGTTTATATTCTGTACTACCTCTTTTTATTTTATAATCAATGAAATCTGATTTTTAATACTTTTTTAAAAAGTTTTAAACAGACCTTTATTTTCTTTATTTTGAGAATCGAACCCAGTGCCTCACACATGCTAGGCAAGTGCTCTACCACTGAAACACAACCCCAGCCGCTCTGTTCTACCTGTTTATGTGCAGATAACAACAGATTTAAAAAGGAGAAGAAAGGTAGATTTGCATTGTATCATTGAAATTATTATTTCAGTGATTTACTGAGTTGCACAATATTCAAAAAGACAAAATGCAACTATGCTCATACTTCTACACTTTGCATATTTATACAAATATTATATATTTATACTTGAAAGAATTTCACAAATCTTCTATGAATACCAATTGTTGAAGTATTTGCCTTTTACAAATGGAATGAACAGTTTTAACTTTTAATGAATTTATTTATATCTACTTAAAATGCAACATTTAGGTTCTCTGATTTTCTTTGTCTCTGAATCTCTTTACCAGGGCCAACGTCTTTTTGAAAAACTGCTCCAGCTGACTTCGCAAAATATTGAAATCAAGCTAGTGAGTGATGTGACAGCTGATTCAAAGGTATTAGAAGCCTTGAAATTAAAGGGTAAGGCCAAGGTTGATATGCTACTTTACCACTGGATATTCTGTTTAAAATACCTTAAATTTCACTTAAAATAATATATAATTTCTTTATAATCAGTACACTTCTTATTTCTTCTTTGAAAAATAGCCTGATTAAAGCTTTTAAATGAGGAAACTAATTAATCAATACTACTGGGATTTTTAAATATATTTTTCACATTTCTCTATGCAAAATAATCTACTGGCTATTGAATGATAATTAATTGGTAAGAAGAATCTTTCTTCTCTAAACACTTCAATGATGTAATTAGGAAAAAAGCATCACTTCCCATTAGAACAAACAATCATTTCTGCTTTTCTCTTGCCCATCAAATGAAAATCCTCTTTATGCTACGTATTCTTTAAAATAATAAAGTTAGGTCTAGAAGTCTATATAACATTGTCTAATTCCACAGGGGAACGCTACTCACGTGACCATTCTGCAATTGGTCTCGCCGTCTCATGAAGACTGTATCTTTCTCTAACTGTCACTTCCAAATAGTTTTTAATTATTTGTAAAAGTTTTTATCCAGAATTTACTATCTGAATTATAAGCCTTTAAAAACGTACTGGCGCATGAGAACTGGTGAACATATCCAAGCCACCAGGTGTCTTTGAGTCTCAGGGGTTTATCTGATGGCCTCATATCCCCTGCTTCTGCTGTTTGAACATTCTGGGCATGTCCACTTGTCTTCCCCACGTCAGGTGAAAATACCTTCTTAAATATGGGACAGATTGGAGTAAGTGGACCAAGTAGCCTGTCCTCCTGCAGAAGGAAAATGTGAAGTAATAAAGAACATTAAATGACACAAAAAGAGGACATAAGCTTGGCCAAGCAAATGAACCTTATGCTAGTCAGCTTTGTGGCATTGTTACAAAACACTTGAGATAGATAATCAATTTAATAAGGTTTATTGAGGCTCATGGTGTGAGAGGCTTCAGTCCATAGTCACTTGACCCTGTTGCTTTGAGCCTGTGGTGGTACAATATCATGGTGTGCCGCAGTCTGGCTGGGCACAATTCAGGAGCCACTTGTCAAAAGAAAACGAACTTTATTTTTAGAACACACACACCAAACCACACAGCTCCTCAGGAAATCTTCAGAGCCCAACTGCCACCACTGGCTTCCCACAAGCCTCTCCACCTCCCCCACTCCTCTTGCTCTTGAGGCCGATTGGCTGGGTTGTGTGGGCGGAGCCAAAAAGAGTCCCCCAATGAGTAGCTCCGTGATCTGAAAGGGCAGGGAAACAGCCCAATGAGCATCACCGCAGAGGTGCCAATCAGTTGGCAGCTAGAAGTTTGCTGGGGCGCTGTGAGCCAATCATCAGCTGGCAGCTGGAATTTTGCTGGGGCCCCTTCGGCTGTGGCTCTCAACATCTCCCCCTCTCTGTTTAAACAACAAGCATGTGGCTTAGGGACTGTGCCTGCCTTAGGTTGTCCAATAGTACATATGGTCCTTACCCATTAGGTTGGTACCATTGCAATTGGATTGGCCCCTTCGGCTGTGGCTCTCAACAATGGTGGGGACATGTGGTGGAGGAGGCCTATTCATCTCAAGCAGACAGGAAATGACAGAGACAGGAAGAGGTCCAGGGTCCCAATATCCCCTTCAAGGGCATGCCCCCAAAGCCCAATTTCCTCCTAATAGGCCCCACCTCTTAAAGATTCCACCACCTCCCCATCGTGCCACAGGCGGGTGATCAAGCCTTTAACAAATGGTCCTTGAGGGGATCCTTGTCCAAATCATATAGTGAACCTGTCATCATTCATAGTATTTGATTCTGTACATAGGAAAACAAAGAAAATGTTATGAGATATTGTTTGGTATAAAAAGTTTCACTGTGTTACTTGAGAAGCATATTTGTGTGTCAGGAGAGGGACGCTGGGGATTAAATCCATGGATACGTCACCAGTGAGCTACACCACAGCCCTTTTTATTTTTTATTTTTGTGACAGGGTCTCTTTAAGTTGCAAAGACTGACCTGGAACTTGTGATCCTCTTGCCTCAGCTTCTGAGTAGCTAGGATTACTAGCTGGGATTATACCCAGCTACAGCAAAAGATTTTTGAAAAACCAGAGAATATCTGGTTCCGTGGATTGACATACAGAGTCATCGTGGCTTAGAAATGCATTATTACTTTTCTCACTTACAGCATACGAAATTGGGTTCCCACAGTCTGAGAATCAACCATCCCCACCTTCTCAGACTGTGGCTTAAAGGTGGGATGGCTTTGAAACACAATTCCCATGAAGTCTTTGAATCAGGGGGGGGATTTGATTTTACACAACGATTCCTATAAATTCAGAACAGGTTTTACTAATTGTTTTCTTAATCTCACTTACAAACCACCTCCATCTGCATCCCTCATAAACATATCAAATGCCATATGTTAATTTACCTCACTTGGGGCTTCTCTCACCTCCCAGCAATAGCAGCGATTGTCCCTTTCCCTGAGGTTCTAAATGTCCAGTCGCTCAAATTCCACATTTAAAATATATTTGAATACACACACACACACAACACACACACATACACGCGATAGATTGTTGCTCCTCAGTCTTTCTCCTAGATATCACCTTTTCTTCTCAACTGCCACTACTCCATTTCAGACCTTTAATAATTTTCTGAGGCTTTGCCCTCCCATCTGATCTCCACACAGCCAGAGATTTTCTGTAACATGATTATTTCCCACTTACAGCCCAACCTAAATTGTATGCATGTGTGAGTGTGCCTCAGTGTTATGCAGAAATTGCTGTTGAAGAAAAACAGACATGAAATAAAGGGCACAGTGGTAAGCAAACCATTCAGTGAAGTTTTACAAAATATAAACATCTGTATGAATCACTGCAAGTATCTCAGAAAGTTATATCACTCATTCTTGTGGTCACTACCCTCTGCAGAGATAACCAGTCTTTCAACTTCTACCTCCACCACTTGTCTTTCTTTCATATTTATATTAATAGGATCACAGAATACATGTTCTTTTATATCTGGGTTATTTTGCTCTATTTCAGGTTTATAAGACCCATACATGTTGCATATAGTAGTATCTTTCTTTTACATTGTTGAATAGTATTCCACAGTATAAATATAATACAATGTATTTATTTTGCAGATGATAGAGATTCAGGGTTTTCCCTATTTTTAATTGTTATATGTAATACTACTATGAGCATTCTTGTAAATATCTTTTTGGCACTCATGTATACAAATTTCTATTGGATATTTACTCAAAAGTAGAATTTCTGACAGCACATAGACTATATGTATGTTAAACTTCGATAGATAATGCCAATACTTTCCAATTGTTGTACCAGTTTATACTAACACAGGCATACTCCATATCCTCACAAAATTTAATAGACTTTTTAATTTTAGCCATTCTGATAAGTACATGTTGTGTTATTACTTTTCAATTTCCTGATGGCTAATGATGTTGAATATCTCATATGCTTATTGACCATTTCAAACTACCTTGATAAGGTGCTCATTCAAGTATTTTGCTCAATATGATTTTATTTTGTTTGTTATTCTCTGTTAGTCCATTCTTACTTATTATTTGTCTAGATTTGAATCCTTTGTTGGATATATGCATCTTCTCCTTTTGATACTATGTATTCACTCTTCTAATTTATACTTTTGATAAGTATAAATCCTTAATTTTAATGAAACTGAATTTAAGTTTTTCTCTGTTATGGATGCTTATTGCATTCTTTGTAAAAGATGTTTGTCATTACAAAGTCCTGAAAATATTTTTGCTTGTTCTGTCCTAGTTGTGGTATTATTTTACTGTTCAGATTTAAGTCTATTAGGTTAGGACTTAATTTCTGTATGGTGTGAAGTAGGGGTACCGGCTAATTTTTATTTATATAAAAGCTATTGATTAAAAAAACTCTTCACTGCATTTCAGAAACATCTTTGTTAGAAATTAGGTGACTATATGCTTTGGTCTGTTACTGAATTCTCTGTTATGTTGCATTGGTCTACTTACATAGCCTAGGACAAATGCCACACTGTTTAATTACTGTGGCTTTAAAATGCATGTTGTGGATGATCTAACATTTTTATCTTTGTTTTTTACATTTAAAACTTCCTTAGTTATCCTTGACCCTTCAGATTTAAAAATAAATTCAACTATCATTTTGCCACGTAACTGCATAATATTACATTGATTCCAAGGGAGAACTGACATTAACAATATTGACCCTTCAGCTTCATGAATAAGAAAGGCTATAATATTTCCTCTTAGTGGTGCCTTAACTGCATAATTTAGGTTGTTAATATGACATAAATTTCTAAATTATTTTTCAATGCAATAAAGTGGTCTGATTTCTACTGCAATTTCTATTTTGAATCAAGGGCTATTTAGAAATGCAGTCCTTGCTTTTCAAATATGTGGAGGATTACTCTATTTACCTTTTTGCTATTTTCACTACAATCAGAATACAGAATTAAGTCACTTGAAAGTTTTGGAAAATTACTTTGTAAAAATTTATTTCTAGAACAAATTACAAATCCTAAGGCTTTTTAATGCTTTCATTCAACTTTTTGGTTTTTTTTTTTTTTTTTTTTTTCATTTTGTTAACTCTTAGAGTTGTCTTGGCCAGGGAGGTAGTCTAGAAAGCTCCTTTATCAGAGCTGAATAGTGGAGTAAATGTGCAATGTCTGCTGTTTGCGTCATCCAAAATAAGAGGGAAGATCATTTTTATTTTTTTTTGGATCCTGCTGCTTCTTTCTTCAAGTGGGATGTGCCGCCTGCTGCCAAAATTTGGCTTCCTGGGTGTGGTCATGACAATTCTCTTATGTCCTGTTCTCCTGCTAAGGCCTCCCAGCAAATGTTGGTGATGCCTCACTTCTCACCAAACCTGACCCTGGTAATATCACAGCAATATCCTTGAAATTTTATAGTACTAATCAATTTTTTATTTTTGATTATATATTTTAGTCAGAACACAATATTATGTCTCAACAATGCCCCTCTA